ACAAAGGAACAAACTAGGATATGCAGAACTCAAAAACCTTGGTTCAATGAGTCAATATTGGAATCAAAGCGTATTGTCCGGAAAAAAGAGAGAATTTGGAGAAAGTACAAAGAGCCAGAACAGTTCAAGAAATTTAAAGAAGCACGGAATAGATACTGTAAAGAAATTGATTCTGAGAAAAAACTTGTAATAAGTGAGAAAATTCTAAATGCCAAAGGTGATTCAAAAAAACTCTATGGTTTAATTTCGGAATTAACTGGTACTAAAGCTGAAAATCCTATGCCTCAGTTTACAAATGACGGTGAGCTAGCTGAGAAGTTTGCAGACTTTTTTATGGACAAAATAGCTAAAATTCGTAAATCACTTCAGGATTTTCCAAGCTTCATTCCAAATGTCAAACAAATTCAACCTTTAGAAAATTTCGAGGATCTTACAGAAACACAGGTGAAGAGCCTTATTTGTGAACTAAATACCAAATCGTGTGAGCTGGACTTAATACCCACACATATATTAAAGTCACATCTAGATGAGCTTCCGCCAACCATTACCAAACTGGTCAATCTATCTCTGTCTAAAGGCGTATTTCCAACACACTGGAAACAGGCAATCGTTAGACCCCTTCTTAAGAAGTCTGGTTTAGAATTACAATTGTCAAACTACAGGCCTGTCAGTAACTTATCGTTTCTTTCAAAATTGATAGAAAAGGCTGCGCTCTTCAGACTAAATAACCATGTCGATACCCATAATTTGTTACCCAAAAATCAATCAGCATACAGGCGTCATCATTCATGTGAGACTGCTTTACTCAGACTTGTCAATGATCTTCTAGACGGTATGGAGAAGCAAGAGGTCACAGCTCTAATTGCAATAGATCTAAGTGCAGCTTTCGACACCGTTGACCACAACATTCTACTCGACGTGTTACACAGTCAGTACGGTGTCAATGGTACCGTGTTAGCTTGGGTGGACTCGTACCTGCGACCTCGTAGTTGTCGCGTCAGTGTTAATTCTACTGAATCGACTCCACGATTGCTGGAATGCAGTGTACCTCAGGGGAGCTGTCTTGGTCCGTGGCTCTATCTCACATATGCGGGAACCCTATTTGATGTGATACCACCATCCATATCTGTGTACGGCTTTGCTGATGACCACATTGCTAGTCAACGCTTTCGACCAACTTCAGTGACCAATGAACTTTAACGCTATAAAGCAACTTGAAGACAGTGCTGTAATCATCAATGACTGGATGAATGCCAATAAACTCAAAATGAACACCACTAAGACAGAATTCATTATGTTTGGTAGTAAAGCCCAACTTGGTAAATGTTCAATTAAAGAAATTGATATCGCCGGTGATAAAATTCAAAATGTCAGTGTCATAAGATACTTAGGTGCCTACTTAGACAAGGGCCTAAGATTCTCAACACATGTTAAGACCAAGTGTAGAACTGCTATGTTAAATTATTTGAGAATAAAGAGCATTCGCAAATATCTGACTCAGGACGCCACAAAAATCCTAGTATTGTCGCTTGTAATCTCACATTTGGATTATTGCAACGCTATATTGTTTGACATTTCAGAAAGTGAGTTACAGAAATTACAGCGTATCCAGAATATGTGCGCTTAACTTGTTTTGCAACGCGGAAAATATGATAGTTCCAAAGACTCTTTGTTGGAACTGCATTGGTTACCAATTAAAGCTAGGATCAATTTTAAAATACTATGTACAATGTATAACTGTTTTATGAGCAATGCTCCGGTTTATCTAACAGAACTATTACACAAGCCTGTCATAAAAAGACCAAATCTCAGATCTGTTGATAATATGGATTATTGTTTTGCTGTCCCCTTTAACAAAAGGAAAACATTTAACGACAGAAGTTTTAGTACCGTTGGTCCAACTCTCTGGAATAAATTGCCTCTGTATATAAGACAGTCTTCGACTTTGGACATGTTCAAGAAAAATGTCAAAACCTACTATTTTAGAGATTTTTACGCATTGTTTTAAGATTATGATTGGGCTGTAAACTGATAGAGATGTGGAAATGTGTTTGAAATTTTACTGAAATACCCATTCATTTTTATTTTCTTTTAAATTATTTTTTATTGTTTTTTTCTATAACTATTCTTTCTTTTTTTAAAGTTTTTAATACTTTATATTTTACACGGCTGATATCTTTAACATATTTTTTTGTAGTTCATTTGCCATGCATATGTGTTGTTTTTAAACTATATGTACATACTTTTATTATCCTTTTGTACAACGCCATTGAATATGTATATAGAAATAGGCGTTTAATTAAATAGAACAGTTTCAGTTTCATATAACAGTGGTCTCAATTTTGTTACAATTAGGTTTATTTTAAAATTTCCGACACAGTATTCTTCGGGGATTTAGAATTAATAACATTTATTTTTGTGAGAAACAGTAAACATATTCGTGTAATTCGATTTCTCAAAAGAAAAAAAATCAGATATTGCTACAGTCAGGTTGTCATTGCCGTCCAGAAAATTCGCCTTGACTCATAAATGACCGTGACCTAAAAGGTCAAATGTTTGAAATTTCCTTAAGATTTGCTATAATTGGCTATAACTTTGTTATTTATGAATAGATTGTCTTCATACTTGCATACAACAATTATCTGTACAGGATCTTTAAGCAGACTCAATTGATTATGATATTTAGTCCTAAGTGGCATTGACCATGTAGTTCAATTTAATGATTCTTTTCCCCTGAATTTTGCCTTCATTGGCCATAACTTTGTTATTTTTGAACACAAATACCCCAAGAACAGAACGGAGGAACATGGGAAATAAATTGAACAAAAAAGAAAGTAGAGATGATGTGATTCCAAGCATTTTTTTCTCTAACACACGGACATGGGTAATCATAGGTGAAAAGAAAACAAATCCGAGGTGTTATGTTAATGTGATCTATTACGTTATTGTTTGAAACAAAATCATTTATTATCGAACTTTATCAAAACCATTGATTATTTTGTTAACCATCATGTTGCCATACGATGCGCAATGAAACGTTTATCTTTTTAGGGGTATTTATCCAAACAGCATTTTACATTTTCGGAAACTGACAATGTTAGTACCTGATGTAGAAGTGAAAACATTATTTATCAATAGATTTGTATCAGTTGGCTCATGATATAGATAGCAATCCAAGATAATTGTTATACTATAGGCCTGAGCGTCGAACTCTAATTTATCTCTATGACTAAAAGCAATGCAGTCTTTTTCAGATATGCATTTAAGTTCACAAGAAGCATAGTCAATGGCACTTGATGTAGTTACCGCTTGAGAATTCTGTATCTTAAAATTTTTTATTGTAAGGAAATCATCGGAATAATCAGTACAATCTGAAAAATCTGAAAGTCGGAAAAAATCAAGAGTCAATCAATTAATATATTTTAATATATATTGTAAAAATAGATTTACTTATTAAAAAGTGTTTTTGTTTGAATTGGGTTTTACGTCACACCGACACAGTATAAATCATTTGGAGACGTCCCAGCTTAACTGGTGGCGGAGGACCTCGGGTGCCCCTCCGTGCATTATTTCAGGCACGAACGGGCACCTGAGTAGAACCACCGACGTTCCGTAGGCTAGCTGGATAGCTTCCTCACATGAAAGAATCCTAAGTCCCTGTCGGGATTCGAACCCACAGCGGTGAGGGGCAAGTGGTTTGAAGTCAACGACCTTAACCACTCGGTCACGGACGCCCCTATAAAAAGTAATAAAGTTTAGTCAATACTGTGCCAGTTAATACTGTTAATTATTTGATATTATTTAACGGAAAAAAACTATGTCTTTTAATAAATACAAAGTATCAAAGTCGAATGCTATGGTCGCATATAGACATATGATAGAGTTAAAAAAATACGATATTTTTCTTAAAATTTACTTAGGATATGACAAAAGAATCATTTTAAGAGAAAAAATCAATTGGGATCAATGAACTCAATTTCGATAATTTACAAAAATGTTTAACAAGGCCTTTTTTTGACCCTACTCATGTAGCTGACTTTCATTTGAGAGATTTTGCAATTGTTATATAAATGTTGGTTTTCGGTAGTTTGTTTATTTTTCGTATAGTAAGGGAACAAGATTTTAAATGAAATTAAGGAACGTTAGACTATTTATATAAGTCTTTGAAATAACTTGGACTTTGATAACTTCAAAACGAGGTAGGTGATCCCAAAGTTTGTTCTTTTAAAACGTTTTTTTCCTCATAATATATATGAAGATCATGCAAAGTTTAAATAAATTATATAGCTACAGTTTTCATCTACTAAGTGTCTATATGAAAATTTTATGTCCATTAAAGGGATATTCAGGCAAAACAATGACAAAAATATTAAAATGATCTTATGTTCTCAAATCACGCTAAAATGACATTTTTTAAAATCCCAACATAAATTTCGGTATAAATTCTTTATATCTTTGGTTTGAAGTTTAAATATATCTATATAATTTTTTATGTTAAACGAAATTTAGACGCTAGAAGATTCACCAAAAAGTTTTAAAACAAGTCATGTGACTTGAACAAACCCTGGTAGTTACAGGATAAGTCATACATTTTTACATGTTCTTTAACGTTTCCAGAGTTCACTGTTACAATTATTGTGAAATCTTAGCGCTCTAACCTGACCCACGCGGGTCAAGTTAGGAAACCATCATTTTATTCTTTATATGGAGAAAAGTTTTGTTCCTATGACTGTCTTGTGTACTAATTTTGAGGACATTTACAAAATAATGAATGTAACATTCAAAACTAAGAAATGAAAAGTTTGCCTGTGTCTCCCTTTAAAGCTGTATGATATCATGTATTAAAGTAAAGTAACATTTTCACGAATGCAGTATTAAGATTACAAGCTCGGCTGGAACAAGATATGATTAAATATCAACAAAATCGACCAAATTTGTCAACAATGAGACTTGATGTGATTATTTTAGACAACAGCCACTAAGTCAATATTTACCTTTTGTCGAAACTTCACAATCGCATCGAGGTCCCTTCAAAGCAAATCCGTCACAGATGCACTCTACATTATTCTCCTTTAATACGCATTGACTCTTTTTATCACATAGACCTTTGACAAATAAGAAAAAATATAGAACAGAAAATATCGGAGATGATAATTTAAAAAAATGTAAATGTGGCTGTATGGCAAAGTATGTGGCGGTATGTCAAAGAATGTGGCGGTATGGTCAAGTATATGACAGTATGACTAAGTATGTGGCGATACGACCGAGTATGTGGCGGTATGCCTATGACCAAGTATGTGGAGATATGGCAAAGTATGTGGCGATATAGCCTAGTGGTCTAGTCGTTGGACTAGTAGCTTTAAACATTGCTGGCTGCATGGCTTAAATCCGGTTGATGCAAGTCGTGGCTTCTAAGAAACTTTACACTCACTGTTTAGTTCTGGTTGGTTTCAGTAACGGGCTTTAAAGTGTATCTTTAAGTTATAATTCCAACACAATCAAACAAAAATTAAAACTATGAATAAAACCAAATGTTTAAATTCTTTTATATGGATGCTTTTTATTAATTTTAAAAACCATTATGGTAGAGGACAAAATACGTAATGTGTATCACAAATACAAGTAAAACGAAATGAATATTAAAGATTTGTTCCACTTTTGTTCTGCATGCCTCCAGATTAACTAAATTATTAAAAGAAAATTAAAATTCAGTAAAATGTACTAGAATGTTAAGAAAAGTATAGAAAATTAAAACTCAAGTGATAATTTACATGTTATGTGCGATTAATGACTGATTTTGCTGTATTATCAACATATTTCTACATCGTGACTAACCCAGTAATGGCTTTTTTGCATATTTTGATCATGGATTGTTAGTGCCGTTTGCAATGTGTAAGTTACTTTCATAAAATTTAAAATAAATACATTTTCAAAATTCTCATGAGGCATGTTGCTTTTAAAGTTTCTTTTGTTTGTTTTGGTTCTGTTTTCTTGCAAAAAATAGAATTACTGACAAAACTGATATAAGTAAAAGAAGAATGCAATAGGCTTACATCTTCTGCAAAACATTTGACCTTCTTCTCCAAGGCACGCCTCTTCTGCTTTGCACTGAAACCCACCAATAAAAGTTTGAATTAGCAATGCCTTAGATAGAAAATCGCCAAAGCTTTTGATCATTTCAATAAAAAATCAAAATCAAATAAATGACTACTTATAAGTTCTTTCTCCATAACCAACTTTACGGATAAGCAGGTTTACTTCAAAACACAGGCAGATGACTACAAAATCATAAGAACAATACAAACATTTTCATCTGAAACACAGCTGGTCTTAGTACCACACGCAGCGTCCGATAGTTGTACAACACCTGAAGTAACCAGAGCCACCTATAAAAATGAAAAAGTTATTTATAGATACACAAATAAGCAACCTCGGTTAACTCAAGTGATAGAGGGTTGGAATGCGAATCGGGCATCTCGGATCGATTCCCTTCTCGGACGTTGCAGGTTCTCGGACTCTTTTTTTTTTAAAAAAAAGACTGAAGGATTTTGCTTTGTAACATTAAAAACCAAGAACTTTTCCCAATAATATATGTAACTTTAAAACTGATGTCTTTCAACCAATGGCATGCTATTTTTGATTTAATACTATAAGCATAAATATTCAACATTTGTAATGTTTAAAACGACTTTATTCTTGCACATCCACGTGGAAGAAAATCGTAAAAAAACTATTTATTATATTAATGATACCATCAAATTAATCTGTTTTCGTAGCTATTTTGATTTAATAGGACATTTCTGATATTTCATATTGTCTTCTATAGTATATGGTAGTTTTAAATCTCAAAATTTCAATTTTGATAACATTTACAAGTTGAGTTATCAATAATTTTAGCATATTCAATGGTCAATCAACAAGATTTTGATGGCTGCTATATACTTCAAACTACATTTGAGCCGCGTCATGACAAAACCAACGTAATGGGTTTGCGACCAGCGTGGATTCAGACCAGCCTGCGCAATCCGCGCAGTCTGACCAGTATCCATGCTGTTCGCTATCAGTTTCTCTACTTGTAATAGGGGTTGTAAGCGAACAGTATGGATCCTGATCAGACTGAACGGATGCGCAGGCTGGTCTGGATCCATTCTGGTCGCAAACGCACTATGTTGGTTTTGTCATGACGCGGCTCATTTGTGAAAAGCTTTATGTGTTAATGATGGAATCGTTAGAGATTGTAACTTAAGTATGTAAAGTATCTTATAATGCATATTTAGGTGGTATTGATGCGTAATATTTTAATGTATAAATGTGCCAAAATGTCATCAAAAGCAGTTTAACATACGGAAGGAAGTGTATTTTTCAGACTTTTAAAATGAAATTAAACAATTGAAGACGATATAGAAGTTTGGTGATTTTTTAAGTAGATTTTATATTTTTTCTTACGTTGAAATTTATACATGTATATCAATATCAGCTTTGCTTTGCTCTAAGCCTCCCTGACAATGTCTTAATCGTAAGCAATAATAAAATTGAGGTGCTACATGGAAAAAATCTTTTAAAAAGTAGTCTCTCCATTGAAAAGAGTCAAATTATATTATGATAATTTTCACTGTGAAATTAAAAAATATATTTTTAACAGATAAATTAGTAATCCACTCAAAATAATAAAATAAAATATTTCTTTTGGCTTTATTTTAATAAAATATTTCGATTGGTACTGTTTACATCTATAATTTCTCAGTTTACATACTTTTTTAAGTAAATGTTTAAAAGATTACGTTATATCTCAAGTTAATAACCTACTGATAAACATGTATATAAGAGATAGGATAATATTTATTTTTTCTTTCATGAAATGTTATTGAAATAAAATCTCATATAAGAACACCAAGAAAAAAAAACATTATTAATTGTAAAAAGAGGAAACTTACAAGCATCAAATATAAACTACTTCCCATTTTCAAAACTGTTTTTATATTGCTTATACAGAATCTTTGAAAGTGAATAAATGATAAGCGCGATAACTGTCTTTCGTTTATATAAGCGTTACCTCACTAGTACATTGATTGTTATACCTGGAATACATGTACATTACAACATGTTTGCAGCAGGTATGTTTCTTTTTCTATGTAAGAAAATAATGAAATGATTTATGCAGGACCATTGTATGATACACTGAAACGAATGTTTTATCAACATGTGAACATTAAAATAACATGTACTTAGAAAATGGGGAAAGAAAAAGACCATAAAGTATGACTTAACTCAAAACAATATTAGACATTTATGATAAAAAGGGAAAATAACATTATGTTCATTCCAACACACAAAAAACAAGGACGAAATTAGTTTTGATGTTTTATATTAAGGATATTAAACTGTGTAGTATTTGAAGTTGAAGAATACTGCAATCAACACAAAGAAGCGACAAAATGATCATTTCTCGAATCATACTTAATGAACCGGACTTAACCATATTATCTCTATTCTTATCCATCACTTACATCCCTTTTTTACAAACAACAAGTTTGAAATAGTTTTACTAAAGCAAAGAATGGTTCTTGTGCAATGCAATTACATGAAATTAAAGATAAAAGGATTATATATTAATACTTCAAAAACGTAACAGCGAAAGTCTGAAACTTGATTATTACAATAGTATATCTTTTTGCACATAATGCCAAATAATGTCGTCGTATATGAAATACATGTCATATGATATGTACTGAAAGTTCTTAACTAAAATACTTACTGCAAGCGTTACATTTCATAAAAGCTTTTTAAACTTTTTTGTTAGATTATTCTGTTTAAAGCAGCATGCCTCCAGATAAGCGAAAATATTTCAATAATCAAACTTGTGAAAAAATGCAATAAGACTAAGAAAAGTTCGAGATTCAAAATTTAAGTAATAGTTTACATATGGTGAATTTTTCATTATTTGTTATTATATTTATACTAACGCAGTTAGGGCATTTTTTGCATATTTTTACCTCTTTTTGTAATAAACTTGGGTTGTAAGTGCAATTGATTATGTGTAAATTGCTTTCTTTTGGTCACTATACAAGATTATACATTTACTTCCAGTTTCAAAATTTTCATGAAAATAAGCATAAATCTGGAGGCGTGCTGCATGTGTCCCTTTAATGCTTGTTTTAATGTAATCATACTATTTTTACATACAATTTCATTACTCTTAATTTGTTGACTGTGTTGTAAGAAATATAAACAAGCTAGTATGTGAGAAGTTAGCAGTAAACAGTGAGCTAAGCAAAAAGGCATTACGATTTATATAGGGAAATCAATGATTTGCTGATATGCTCAGCTGGGTAAGCAATCTAGCAAAGCATTCCAAAATAAAGTGTAGAAATGCTTTGCTGGTATGCTCAGCTGGCTAAGCAATCAAGCAGGCCATTCCTGAATATAGTATAAAAATGCTCTGCTGGTAAGCTCAGCTGGCTAGCCAATCTAGCGGGGCATTCCAAAATATAATGTAAAAATGCTCTGCTGTTATGCTCAGCTGGCTAAGCAATCTAGCGGGGCTTTCCAAAATATAATGTAAAAATGCTCTGCTGTTATGCTCTGCTGGCTAAGCAATCAAGCGGGGCATTCCAAAATATAGTGTAAAAATGCTCTGCTGTTATGCTCAGCTGGCTAAGCAATCTAGCGGGGCATTCCAAAATATAGTGTAAAAATGCTCTGCTGGTATGCTCAGCTGGGTAAGCAATCTAGCGGGGCTTTCCAAAATACATGTATAATGTAAAAACGTTCTGCTGTTATTGTTATGTTTGCAACATATAACATGTATATAATTTATTTATATCTGACCAGTTTTAGAAGAAGCTGCCCGTCTACCTGATGATTATTCTTTAACCCACAAAGTCTCATTTATAGATAAAGGGAAGTTTCTGGTTGTCAAACACATACTTCAATCAAAATGTTATTGAAATAGATAGTTTTTTTTATGGAATACCATTACGACTAACCAGTAAATGAAAGATTATGTAACTTTTGTAACGTCTTAGAAGACGAGTATCATTTTATTATAGAATGCAAGTTGAACGATGAACAAAGACATAAATATATGTAATCAATATATTGGCGAAGGCCAAATATGTACAAATTTATAGACTTAATGAATAACGAAAACCAGATGATAGTAAGAATGCTTGGAACTTTCATACACACTGCTTTTAAAAAAAACGTACCGAAATATTATATGGTAATTGAATAAGGTATATGTTTTACAAATATTTATCTAGATTGTTAATCATGTAAAGTTTTAGTTTAAAGAATGCATTATCACTATATTTATATAATGGATATTAATGTTTATTGTGTTAAGTTGTCTTTCATATGTAGCACAATAGTCTTATTACACAGAAAAAGTACATTGGTCATGTAGTTTATCTAAAGGTTATGTTCACTCCAGTCAGTCACCTTTATGTTTCGTTTCGTTAAAAGGTTGTCTTTAAAACTGGAAAGAGGTAACCTGAAATTTAGTTCGAAATAAGATTGAAAAAACCTTCTCCAAAGTAAATTATATTTGCAAGATATATTGTTTATATTGTTATAATGAAATTATTGTTAAATGTATAAACTGTTCGTCATAAAGTTTTGTATATGTATGCCTCATGGGCTTTTAAGCCTAATGGTTCTGATTGAAATAAACTTTGAAACTTTGAAAACATGAAACACTGTATAGACTTTTTATTTAACATTAATAAATAAGGAAAAGTCATTTTTAGAACATGAAGGAAAGAAATATGATTGATTATAACTAAACCAACAGTATACGTATATTTGTAGGATAATGGAAATCGACACAAACACAAATTAAACTTCTTTTTACCCTTTCCTTTTTTTCTGATCGCAGATCAGGAAATACAATGCTGACATTCAATATCTGGCACAGAGATTTCCCGACAAACCTAGCAACAAGTAGTTCTCAAAACAGCTTAAAACTAGCGATGTTAAAGATAGAAATATTTTTATTTTGTTACAAGTATCCAACAAATTACAACGCATCCAATCTTTAAAAGTAGTGTTGGCTTACAGAATTGTTAATAAATGCACAATCACAAATTACGCGGATGAATATTATCTTAATCAATTAAAATGCTATTTTTAGCGATGTCGATTACTACATACTACAAAGCGTAGTTCACAAATAAATCTGACTGTCGAGTAGTAAAATATATACATGGCGAAAAGATTTTCGCTCAATTATTTACATCAGTGTTAAACAACAGGTTTATCGTGAACAAAATATCTCGAAATTAATAAGGATTACAAACCATAAATGGAAATTCTAAATTTAGAATTATTTGAATTTATTCAAGCTTTCTTCATATAACTTCCCGTGGTGCAGGGGTAACGCGCTCGTTTAGGGTG